TTGGGACTTGATTTTAAAACAGTTCTCCAGGCTAAGTCCTTTATTGTGGTCTTAGAAAGTAGTACAAATACAGGAACCAAGAAAACAGCAAACATTTTTATATACACCTATAAACATCTACAGTTCTTGAAACTCTGTTTTTCCCATTTTTAACTCAATCTAACATTTCCCTTAGAAAAGTTAGGCTTTTCTTAAGTGTCTTTCTCTTTTCATGCTCCTTTATTGCCTGGCCTTAGTGAGCCTCCATCCCTAAGTTTTACACCTAGTGTGCCAGTACCAATGCACACCTGTGCCAAATACTGCTGGCTCACACCAATGCACTTCCCTCCTCATGCGCCCTCTTTGGAAGTGTTCCTGCTGCCCATGCCTATCTCATATCGGGTAACTTGATCGGGTGCCAAATGTAAGGATTCGTTGGCCTCAGTGTGGTGAGAAATGGTGGCAGGAATGAGAAAAAGATATACAAGAAGACAAAAGCTGGGCTAAGTGGTGGCTGATCTACCTAGTTGGTGAGAGGAACCCATCAGCAAAACAAAAGACGGAAAATTAGTAACATGTGATACAGGGTTGCCTAATGACTAACAGCTGACTTTAACACACAGGATGCTTATCTCAGGACTGAGGTAGCTTGTTTGCTTTAGGCAATGAGGCCTAATCCCGCCTATACACATTTGACCAATTTTCCTTTTTCTTTCTTTCTTTTCTTTTCTTTTTTTTTTTTTTTTTTTTTTTTTTTTTTTTTCATTTGACCAATTTTCCAGCTTCGGCGGCTCCCAACGCTTATTCAAGTCACAGTAGGGTTATTCTTTCATGGCACCTCTGCCAGAGTAATGGACCACATTGGCACTAAATTGGACCATAAATTAATAGTTTAAAGAAGTGACAGTTGAAGACAGTAAAATGATACTTTCAACACGCCAACTTTCGTCAATCAATACCTGGAGAGGTATTGACAATAAGGATTTTAATTTTAATGATATTCACTTTATAAACAGTTCAAAGAACAAGAAAATAGACACATTACATCCCAAAAGAACCTTCTACATCTAGCTTATACACACACAAACACAAACACATACACACACACATGCGTGAACACACACACATACACACACACACATTCTTCAAATAGAATATAACTATTTGAGTATGTAGTTTTCCCAGGATGCACTCACAGACATCCTTGAAAAAAAGTTCTGAAAAGGAGTAAGTCTAATGCAATAGGCAATATTTTCAAGAAAAATGAAGGTTAGAAAATCAATCTCAAATGATGAAGATGCCTAATGATTTAAGAAACAGAAACCCGTTGCTTCACTGCTTTAAAAACAAAGAAACATTCTCTGTATGCCCTAACAGGATCTCTAATGATTCACACCCTCAAAGCAATTTCCTGAAATGCATGGGGATTGAGATTTGACTTCACCCCACAAATTATGGGGAAGGTGCAGGGATGTGACTTTCATGACTACAGTTATTTAAGATATCCTAGCATGCACAAGTGGAGTCTTATCCCACCAATCATGAAGAAACAAGCAGACCCACAGGCCCGGCTTACACAAGGAACTGTGTGGGCAGCTTCCAGTAAATAGTCAGTAACTTATGGAATTTGGGCCCTCAGTCACATATCCTCAAGGAAACAAACAAGCCTGTTAAAGCCTGAATGCATATGGACAGTGTTCTCCAGTCAGGCCTTCAGATGAGAGGCAGACTGGCTGATGTCTTCATCGCAGCTTGCTGAGGTCCTGAGCAGAGGACCTGACTAAGCCATCGCTAGAATCATGACCACCAGAAACTGAGATAGTAAATACTTACGCACCTAAGTTGATAAATTGTGATGGCTTACACATGAACAGAAACCTATTAAGAACATAAGTAAAAGGGCCAGCCAGATAGCTCAGCGGAGTAAAGCACCTGCTTAGGCAGAGCACAGTGGCTGGGGTTGGACCCCCACTGTGCCGTGCCAGCCCTGCCCCTGGGGTGCGCTGAGATGATGATTGAGACTAGGTGTGGTGGTGCATGCCTGTAATCCCAGTGCTTGGGCAGATGAAAACAGGAGGATCACTACGAGTCTGATTAGGGTCTACAGTGAGACCCTGTAGACTCTGTACTAAATACATAAAAAAGAACATAAATATATCAAAACACAGCAACTCTGGGGGTTTTGGGTATGTCAATTTCCCTTGACATCATAAATTCATACTGGCTCTAGTGTTCCACCCTTCTACTTTCAGGCCCACATCTGAAGGGCAAAAATAAGTGACCACAGGCTGTGTCAAAGAAATGCCTTCTAACCGAAGGCTGATCTTTTCTTAGATGTGTGGGATCTCTCCAAACTTCCCAGACATGTCACACACTTCTGTCACGTACCTAGAGAACTGGGCCAAATGCTCAGCACAAAGACAGCACTAAAGAAAATGTTTTTCCTAATCATGAAAACTCAACCACAAGAAATCTCTGAACAACACTGTGTAGAAGTGGATAAAAAGAAACAGTGTGAAAATGACTGTTGTAGAGTCAACAAATATGTAAAAGATTTCTGCCAGTAGGGAGATTTTGTACAATAATCACTCTCCCCTGTGGCTCCAGTGTATATGCTACTTAGATGCCAGGAAATAGTCAACAAACTGTACTTCTCTAATTGCTCCCCACAGTGACTTCTAAAGGCAAGTTCTAGAGTTGCTGTTGTTGTTGTTTTACTTGAGGGATTTATGCATTACTTGATTAGAGGGATAAGATTGAGGGGTTTTTTGTTTGTTTGTTTTTGGTTTTTGTTGTTGTTGTTTTTGCGGGACTAGGGATCGAACTCAGGACCTTGAAGGTTGCCAAGCAAGCACTTATTCCTCTGAGCTGTCTCCCCATCCTCCTGTTGTTGTTTTAACATGAAAAAAACAGAAGCCCAGAGGTAAGGCAAAAGGCACACATGTCATTGGAGAGGCCAGGATGCAATCATACAGCCCCTACTGGAGGGCATGACCAGTATTCTAGCACTGAAAATGCAGACTGCTCAGATACATAGCGCTTGGCACACAAGCTGTGCCAGTACCCATGTAAATATGAGTTAAGAATGAAAAGTAAAAGCTGCTTACAGATTGCATTTTACTGGAGGAGATGAAACAAGTACCACTAATCAGAGCAGTTGAAGTCTAGCTTGAACAGTTACATATGTGAGTCAACAGTCACACATGTGACTGAGTGAGCTAGACTTAAGCTGCTGACAATTATGTGCCTGATTTGTGCATTTCTATGAAAACATTTTAGAACCACCAGCAGTTTGATGCAGACTTCAAGAAAATATTTGCTTAAGAGTTTGGTAATATACACACACTAGAACATGAATGTAGTAAGGCAATTTCTACTTAATCCATTAAACAAGACACAGAGGCTAGTGTGGCATCTAATGTAGAAATTCTTAACTGCTATGCTTTAGATATGATTTGCGTGAACCTTTTGATAGGTTCTGGCCCTAGTATAAAGTGCTGAAATCACTGTGATGGTTATCTAATATGGCCGATGCCCTTACAACATAAGCCCATCTTCCCCAAGACCACCTCCTCCCTTCTTCTCCATCTTAGTCCAGGGTACACTTCCTTTCACCCTTCCTGCTGTCTCCGAGAAGACCCCCAGTCAGCTCTCTCGAGTATAGCTAAGCATCCCCTTCAAACTCCACCATGGCAAAAAGGCATAAAAGCCTCAGCCTCCCTTTGTTCCAATCTAGAGAATTCCTTATTGTCCCCCAGATTCTCTCTGTGTCCTCAAAGACAGTAAAGTCCCTTTCCCTTCTTCCTTCTGCCTGTTTCTCTGCTGCAATGGGCACCTGAAAAAACCTATCATATTGGTGCCTTGTGACTCGGATAGATAGGCAGCATGTGAGGCTCCAGGGGGGCCAAACCCCCAGTCCTGAGCCCCGTGCCTATGCGCCGAGCTCCTCTCCTCTGGATCCTGCCCATTTGCTGCTGCCAGTCTGCATCCAACACTGGTCCACTTCGATCATTCCAAGTGAGCTAGGTTACAGCACGAGATTTCTGGCAGTTTTCTAGGGGAGCTGTTCCACTGTCCTCTGGTAGAGGATCAAACCCTTGCATCCTGCCAAGGACAAATGGTTCCCCTCACAATTCAGTAAATCACAGGCTGCGTCTGGGTTTCTCTCTCATCCAGTGAACAGAAGCTGACTGTATTCACATTCCTTAATAGACTTCTTAAGGCAACACAATCTCTGTCCCATGGACTCCCACCTGACCCCTGGTGATGACGGGGTGGATCAGGCTCAGGAACCCCCTCACTGTGCTTCATTATCGGGGAATAGGATGACGACCACCTTCGCTGTTTTGAAGTTTGACTCAGCCTTAATTTGAAAGTCTTCACGGACTACAAGTCCGTGATTTGTACACTGTCAGTGCTACCATGGGAAACACTCATTCCCAACCTCAAAAAACACTCCGTTAGGATGACTTGTCTGTAATCTTGGCTTCCTGGCTCCGAGAGGTCGTAAAACCAAAATGACTAATCTTTTACAGCCACACAGTTTGGCCACAATATAAGCTTGTGGTGACAGCCAGTGGCCTATACAAAACACTTTTGATTTACTAATTCTCCAAAGTTTGAAGAACTGTCACTACAGTGGTAAAAGGCAGAGAATCCCCTGGGTTTTTTTCTCTTTAAGGACAGATCCCTCCCTCATTCCTACCTCCCTCAACAGTACTGAGTGGCGCAGATAACCTTAGCTCACTCCTTTCCACCTGGGCCCTCCGTCTACCTCCTCGGATCGTCTAGAAAGATGCTCCACTGCTCTGCACTCCCTCCCTCAAGCTCCCAGCTACAAACTGACTTGGAGATGAAAAGTAACAATACAGGCTTCTGTTCTGTATAAATTCATGATAGGCAAAGACTGGTAACTTCCCTCAGATCATGAAGTCAATCAGTAACAGCAAGCCATTGGGGCTATAATGCAAACAGACCATGCACAAAATGGCAGAAGAGTATTTATTTCTCATCCATGTAATACACACAGGGTTCTGACACAGAGGTGAAACAATCTCTCTTCTCATCTGTCTTAAATCGGTGACCATCTCTCACCTGTACTTTAAGATCAGCCTGAGGGTCAGTAGCACTTTAGTCTCATAAAACATGAGAAGCCTGAGGACTTCACAGTCATTGTTTTTATGTTGTCAGGCTTGTACTAGTGCTCACCACATGTGTTTGTATTCCCCAGACAGAACTTGGACCACAGTAAAACAAGGTGTGGAAATACAGACGGATCCCAAAGAAGAAGAAATGGTTTTCAAAGGATACATAGCTATTATCTGCCACACAAGATTTTTTCTATGTGAACTCACTGATTCTTGCAGAGGTGCGATCTGAGCAAGTTTCCACTTTCCTAGAAGCTTCTCCCCCATGTTGCGTTCTCTCATGCTTGCTGAGATGCGAAGTCTGGCGAAAACTTTTTCCACAGTGGTTACATCCATAGGGTTTCTCCCCAGTATGTGTCATCTGGTGCTTAGCGAGATATGACTTATAGGCAAAGGATTTCCCACAGTCACTGCATTTATAGGGTTTCTCCACAGTGTGTGTCATCTGATGGTTAGTGAGGTAAGTCTTCTGACCAAAGGATTTTCCACAAAGATCACATCCGTAGGGCTTTTCCCCAGTGTGTGTCATCTGATGTTTAATGAGATAAGTCTTCTGGCCAAAGAATTTCCCACACTTATTGCATTTGTAAGGCTTCTCCATAGTGTGGATTGTCTCATGTTTAGTGAGGTGTATCTTCTGGCCAAAAGATTTCCCACAGTAACTACATCTATAGGGCTTCTCACCTGTGTGTGTGCGCTGATGCTTTGTGAGGTGTATCTTCTGCCCAAAAAATTTTCCACACTGACCACATTCATAGGGTTTCTCACCTGTGTGTGTACGCTGATGCTTTATGAGATGTGACTTTCGGTGAAAAAATTTTCCACATTCATTACATTCATTACTACCTTTGGGTTTCTCGTCTGTGTGAATTCTTTGCCAATGCCTCTGGAGTTGTGACTTCTTGCAAAAGGTTACTGTACATTTAGTACATTGATACGGCTTGTCCCCACTGTGAATTTTCTCATGAATAGTGAGACCTGACTTGCGGCAAAAAGACTTCCCACATTCCTTACATGCATATAACTTCCCCCAAGTATGAATACCCTTGTGCTTCATGAGGCCTGACTTACTCTGAAAGGCTTTTCCACATTCATCACATTCATAGAGCTTTTCCTCACTAGAAAAACTCTGCTGCACAGTAATGTATGACCTACGGTAGGAGGATTTCTCACATTGATCAAATGCACAGGGATCTTTCTCTAAACAGTTCTTCTGTTGTACAATGAGGACTTTCTCACATTTGCCACATTCACAGGATTTCTCCCTTATGTGTGTCTGATGTGTAGTGAGATCACAGTTTTTATATAGAGGTTTTCCTCCTACTGTAGCAATGAGAGCAGGCTTCTCACAGGCTTCCCCAGATTCAATATGATCCCAGCAGGCCTGTCCCATAGGACCCTTCTCTTGTGTAATACATTCTTTTAATAATTTTGCCTCCTTGGTGAAGGCTTTCCATTGTGTACCAGATTGAAAATCCTGCTGCCCAGTCAGAATCTTGGAATACTGACGAAAATGCTCATCACATCTCAGGGATTTCCCAGTTAGATGACACTGGCCCAGTTCCTCTCCAGCACCCAGCTCAGCAGGCTCATTAAGGAGATGCTTCACTGCTGAGGAGTTTCCAGGATTTATAATCCTCCAATGGTTTGAGCTCAGACCAAAATTTGACTCAAGCATTTTAAGCTCAAGTCCAAATTTGATGCTCTCCTCAACTGATGTGTTATTGGTGGTAAGAACAACTTGCCACAAGTGTCTGCCTTCACTGTTGTGGCTGGACTTAATTGTGTAATCCACTTCCTGGACATCTAAAATGAGAAAAAATGATATGTCAATCCCATCTATGCATTAGGAATAAAATGTTCATATATAGCTAAAGAAACTTTTTCTTAGCTTAAAAACAAGAAGGTTTGTTTGCTTGCTTGTTTATTTGTTGTAGTATCAGGGACCAAACTCAGGTCCTTGCACTTGCCAGGCAGGTCAGACCCCCCCAAGCTATCTTCCCAGCCCAAAAGTCATAATGGTTATTGGATATAAGAATACAGTTTAGGGGCCAGGGAGGTGGCTCAGTAGAATAAGCACTTGCCTGGCAAGCACAGGGCCTGAGTTCAATCATCGGTTCTGAAAAAAAAAAAAAAAAAAAAAAAAGAATACAGTTTTTCTTCTTGGGGACTATATATAATAAATAGACATGTTTTAGAATCTTAACATGTTTTTACTTCATTTTACTTCCTGAAGAACCATGTTAAAGTATTCAGCCACCACTGCTGATAGCATTCTCCTTACTCTGCTTTGAACGCAGCAAGTATATCCAGACCAGCTAGTTGTAGCATATTAATGAGGTCCAACTGCCTGGTACCTAGGCAGGCACATGGTAAATGAATGGGGCTTTGCATCTATTGTTCCATTTTCATTCTTCCCTGGGGAACCGCTATAGCCACCTGGGACCTTTTAAAAGATAAATTATCTTCTTTCAACTATAAACAAAGACAGTGTCTTCCAAATTCCTCACTTAACCTACTTCTGATTCTCAGAACCACAACTGCAAGAAACTTACCCATCTCCATGGACAAACTCTTTAGAGCCCAACACCTGAAAAGTGTTTTTCCGCACCTTCTGAGATCAACGCCCTGACACCCGCCTGAATCCCTGTTACATGCCTCTGTGCTTGTTCATTCAGTGCCTCTGAGCAATGCTGTCTCCTGCCTTCACAGAAATGGAGCCCTCTGTACATTTGCCATTCTCATCATCAGTGCAAATCCATTCCCAACCAGAAAGCTGAACTCCTTCACACACAGCCTTTACAGCGTTTTTCCTCGGGACTAAGAAGCTGGCAACGTGTTGCGAAGTCAAGCTTCTCACACTTCCATGCTGGACCCTGCTGCTCACTTTCACAGTTTCTGACCACATGCTTCACGAATACAAGTATACAGTTTCCAGTACTTAAAGCCTGCTCTAGGGCTACGGATACAGGGATGTGGTACAGTGCTCACCTATATGTGGGAGGCCCCCCAATCTCCCACACCACCACTGAAATAAAACAAAAGAAAAAGCTCCTTATAAGGACCACTTGCAGCTACTCAGCGGGGTGAGGCAGGAGAATCACAAATTTTTGCCACCCTGAGCAACTCAGTGAAACCCTTGTATTTTGTCACAAAATACAGAATAAAAAGGACTAGGGATGCAGGTCAGAGTGACAGGGTTAGGCAGCGACCTGGCGCGGCGGTCTCCGCGCAGGGCTCTGGAGCGCGAGGTCGCCAGAGTGATAGGGTTTAGTCTTGGGGGTGGGGTAGTCATTGTACTGAAGAATAAATGCATTTATCAGTAACTCATAATCAACAAAAAGAGTCTATAGGGGCTGGCGAGATGGCTCAGTGGTCTGAAGCACCTACTTGGAACAAACTTGGCAAAGCACAGAGACTGCGGTTCGATCCCCCAGCACCACATGCCAGCCAGCCCCGCCCCCTGGTGGGCTGAGCTGGCCATATACACACACATGCACACAATAAATAAATAAATGTTAAAATAAATAAATAAATAAAAAAGAGTCTATGATACGGATGATAAGAAGCAAGGAGAATACAGAGGAAGCAAAGACCAATGTCTTAAAGGAGGATGACAGGGATTAGGTTTGGGGTATATCTAAGAAAATACTCAGTAAAATAAAAGGTGGGCAGATTGCATCAGTGCCCTTCACGCCTGATGCGTGCACACCAGGTACCCTGAGGTCTGAGACTTAGGGAAACTGTTAGTGTACAACATCTGAGCCCAGCCAGCATCTGCTCAGCTTCCCTCTTTTCGGCCTCCCTGCTCAGTATGCACTCACTGACCTGGAGGACTCTGGTTTGGGGGTTCTCCTCCCGTCCATGGCTCTGCTCCTTGCTCCAGCTTAAAGATCACCTCAGGTTTAGTGATGCACTCTCCTGTTGATGGGAAATAATGTTTTAAAGAAACTGCTGTATCAGGTTCTATGCTGAATAAAATCTAGTTTCAAGAGCTGTGTAATGAAGATTCCAAAGTGAATCTTTCCTTAGAGAGGGGGCCCAAACATGGTCTTCATGTACTAGACACTTACTAGTGCTATGGCTTATAGCTAGAAGGCCCCCAAAGCTGCATGGGCTCATAGGTGGTGCTTTGGGAAATTCAGTGGATCATGGATGTGTGAGTCATGGTTGTGTGGGGCAGGGCCATGGCTGTAGTACTGGATCATGCGTGTGTAGTACTGGATTAGTCCACTGATGGGTTTATAGGTTGGTGTGATGATGGGAGGTGAAACCTGGTGTGACACATTAGTTACTATGGACCTGGCCTGTAGATATATATCATTCTTTCCTCCTTCCTTGAAGGCATGTTACTTCCCAGCAGCTACTCCTTGAGTGTTCTCTCCCATATCCCTCTGCTATGCCATCCTGCCTTGAAGCCAGCCAACTATGGACTCAAGCCTCTGTAAACTTAGGCCAAATAAGCTTTTCTTCCTTTAACTTGTGAGTCCTGGGTATTGTGACTTAGCAATAAGAAAGTAGCTTAGACATACATCTAAAGCCTTAAACCCTACTACTGCTTCTGAAATAAACAGATGCTTATCAGGTGAACAAGTAGAAACAACAAACAAATATACAAAAAAAGTTCAACATCACTGGACATTCAAGAAATGCCAACTTAAAAATGTTGGGGCCGGGGAGATGACTCAGTAGAATAAGTGCTTCCCTGGCAACTGCAAGGGCCTGAGTTCAATCCACAGTTACACACACACACACACACACACACACACACACACACACACACACAATCATACAATAACAAATACTGAAGAAAAAAAAATACTGGCCAGCTTTGGGGAAAAAACAACCCTTTTCCACTGTTGGCGTGAGTGTAGCTGGTGCAACCACTATGGAAGTCAGTGTGAAGATTCCTCAAAAAACTAGAACTAGGGGGCCTGCCCCTTAGCTCAGTTCTTTAAGTGGCTGCTTCAACAAAGCAGTCAGGCTCAGGTTGCTGTGGTTCGATCCCCACAACTCCAGCCAGC